GGGAAGGAGCAGCCAGAAAGCCCCTGACTCTGTCTCCTGACTGCCTCTCTTCCTGCAGGGACCCAGCTGACAAGGAGTACACATACGCCGTCCACTCCCGGCTGGCCCACGTGCCGCCATGGGGTCCTGACGGGGAGCTGCTCTGTGGGCGGATTGAGCAGGAGTACCAGGTGGGCCCACTGGAGCTGAACCGGGAGGCTGTGCTCAGGACCAGCACCAACCTGGACAGCCAGCGGGTCATCCACACGGACGACAACGGGTACCAGATGCAGCGCAGGCCATACCAGGCGCACGTCAACAACAGCATTGCTCGGGTATGCCCACGCCGTCCACCGTCCACCGTCCGCCCTGCTCCACCTTAGGGGCTGAGAGCTGGGCTTGGGCTTGGCTGGAGACACCACACACTGAGTGACCTTGGCCAGGTTACTGCAGCATCTGTTTCCTCCTCTGTCAAATGGGTACCGCACGGCTGTTCTGAGATGAGGGGGACAGCAGGGGCTCACGGGGCCTGGACCCACGCTCAGAGCTCTTACTGGGAATGCTGCCCAGCCGCGTAGCATAGCAAGGAGCAGACACCAACTGCCCCTAGACGCTCACGCTGAACCGCTGGCCTTGGGGAGGGTGCTCGTGCCCCACTGCTCCTGGGATTTGGGGAGAGGAGTGAGGCCCTGAGCTGTGAGGCCAGGGCGGGACACACGTGGGCTCCACCAGGCCAGCTCAGTTCCTCTGGTGCCCCCCACGTGTGCCCCGTGCTGCTCCCTTTTCCACTTGGCTGGTTCGTACGTGCTGCTGGGAGGCCTGTGGGGGAGGCCATCCGCCCCAAGGGGCATGTGGGGGGGGGCTTTGTGCTGTCCCCCAGCTGCCCCACCTGTTTCCGCCTCGACTGTCGGTCTAGGCTGGCCTCATGCTGCTCTGGCCCACACGCCGTCACTCACCCCTTCCCGTGGCTGTGTGACCCCAGCTTACAGATGGGGAGACGGGCTGTGCTGGTGAAGCCGATCCCCTGGCTTCTGTGCCAGGAAGCAGCACGGTGCTTCCCTGTCAGGGCCCTGTCCCCACAGCCCCGTGCTGTGCAGAAGGTGACTGAGGGGGTGCGGGGCTGAGCCCTGAGCCCTGAACTCTTCCCCCGCCCCAGCAGTCAGCCCCTGGCCGCCATGCTGTGTGGAGGGCAACTGGGGGCCGGGAAGGTGAGCCCTGAGCCCTGAACTCTTCCCCCGCCCCCAGTGGTCAGCCCCTGGCCGCCATGCTGTGTGGAGGGCAACTGGGGGCCGGGAAGCTGAGCCCTGAGCCCTGAACTCTTCACCAGCCCCAGCAGTCAGCCCATGGCCGCCATGCTGTGTGGAGGGCAACTGGGGGCCGGGAAGGTGAGCCCTGAGCCCTGAACTCTTCACCAGCCCCAGCGGTCAGCCCCTGGCCACCATGCTGTGCAGAGGATGACTGGGTGTGGAGGTGAGCCCTGAGCCCTGCCCGGCCCATGGGCAGCCTGGTGGTCTCTCTGCAGAACTACTACCCTATGACCCAGGCGGCCTTCCTGGAGGACAGCCGGAGCAGGCTGCTGCTGCTGTCAGAGCGGGCGCACGGCGTCTCCAGCCAGAGTGACGGGCAGGTGGAGGTAGGGCATGTGGGTCTCCACCAGGGTGATGGGGGGAGGCGGGGAGGCAGAGGCAGGTGCGTGGCATCTCCAGCCAGGGTGACAGGGTGATGGGCGGGTGGACGTAGGGCACATGAGTCTCCAGCCAGGGTAACAGGTGGACAGTGGGGGAAGACGGGTTCAGTGGGCCCTGTGGTGGTCACCCTGGGCTCCGAGGTGAGGCCGGCCCCGGCACCGTCCTATCCTGCAGGTCATGCTGCATCGGCGGCTGTGGAACAACTTTGAGTGGGACCTGGGCTACAACCTCACGCTGAACGACACCTCAGTCGTCCGCCCCATGCTCTGGCTGCTCCTGGGGACCCCTCCGGTCGTGGCTGCTCTGCGTCCGAGGGGCGGGCTGGCGCTGCAGCACAGGCCCGTGGTGCTGTGTGGGGAGCTGGCCGGTGAGCAGGCCCCTGGAAGCGCATCCACCCCACCCCTGAATGGGCCAGCGGGGCAGGGTGGGCATGGAGGGCGGCAGGTTCTTTGGAGAGACAGAATAGGGAGACAGACATAGGGAGAGGTTTCCTTCAGGGATTGGCTGATGTGAGGTCAGATGACAGGAAGTATGAAGAGTCCAGTTTTGCCCAATGTCCACTTACATCCTGGAGACCAAGTCCACCCTAGAGAACCTCCCTCACCAGCTGGTTGATTGCGTGTGATTAGATTGCATTACGGAGGGTGGCCAATGGTACCGTGTTACACTGTTAGGTGCCATGGAGGTGATTCTGACCCAGAGTGACCCTCTCTTCCAGAAAGGGACTGCCCCACAGGGTCTCCAAGGCTTCATCTTCACAGGGGCAGACTGCCACGTCTTTCTCCCGCAGACACAGCTGGTGGGTTCACCACTGCACCACCAGGGAGTGTCACCACACGACATTAGATTTCACTGCAAAGCAATGGCTAGTGTTTGGCCAGACCACCAGGAGCCGTAGCCTCGCCAAATCCACACATAAAATTGGTCATCACAGAGTTTGGGTCCTCAGGGATCCAGGCCCCTTGTGAGCAGGAGAGACCTTGGGGGCACCTGTCCAGGCCCTCGTTTCATCGATGGGCAAAGCGAGGGGCAGAGAAGGTCAGGGGTTCACGGGAGGTCACACAGCTAGCAGCTCAAGGCTGGGACTCACCCATCCACCTCACAACCTCCCGAGTCAGCTCTGTCGTCTTCTCTGTCTGTCTGATTCTTCCTAGACAGACAATGCGGCATAACGTCGCAGTCAGGAGGGGTCAGGGTCCACACCAAGGTCTGTCAGGGGCCGTGGGCCATTCCCAGACATGGCCAGCGGCCAAGTCTGGGAAAGTCCAGACTCCTGTCTGCCCCTCCACCTGGGACCACTCTGGGCTCTGCAGGAATAAATGAGGGAAAGCCCCCTTGCACCATCTTGAGCCAAAGGCAGTTAACCCAAGGCCCTTGGCCAAGAGAAGAATCAAGCCAAAGGCAGTTAACCCAAGGCTCGTGGCCAGGAGAAGGACAGGGTGCAGCTGGGCCCAGGGTCTGTCCCTCTGTCCATCCCTTCCCTGTGGACAGCCCTGCAGGCACAGGTTCCCCGACCTGTGAGGAGCCAAGCTCTAGGCTTCCTGGTCCCCAGTGCAAATGTCCCAGGGAAAGGTTATGATTGCTCCTCTGGGGTCACGTGGCCCAGTCCTGGACCAGGCCCTGCAGCCTCTGTGTTTGGAGCCAAGAGCCCAGAGTTGGAGGGAGAAGGCTGGATTGCAGCGCTTCTGAGCAGAAAGACAGACAGATGACAGGACAGGGAGGAGCAAACTCATGGTGAATTGCTGTGTGGTCCTGAGATTACATGCACCCTCTCTGAGCCATAGTCTCCTTGTCTATAGTTTGAAATGGCTGGACTAGGAGACACAGGGTCTTCCCACTCTCAGCATCTGTGATCCCACAGGTGGGCGTGGGGGGCAAGGATGGCCAGAGCAGGCTCGGGTGTAGCCGAAGGGAGTGCCAGGCCAGGAGGCTGCCCAAGGACCTTCTCCTCACTCCATCCATCTGCTCCGCAGGGGCCGCCCCAGGGCCCCCAGGACCGTGGCAGCAGGCGGCCGGGCCACTGCCCCTGAACCTGCACTTGCAGACCCTGAGCATTCCCGGCTGGAACTACAGCTCGGACCACGCCCAGCACCTGCGGAGTGTCCAGGAAGGTGAGGCAGGTACTCCGGCTGGCACAGGCGCCCGAGCCCGTGCCCAGAGCCGGTGGCTCCCCTGCCGCTGCCACGGCTCCCGGAGGTCCCCCGGGCCCTTGTCTGACAGACGCGGAGACTGAGGTCCACAGGCACAGGGTGACACGGGTCACTGGGCAGGCCAGGAGCATGTCCTCAGGCCACCCTGGTGAGTCAGGACACGGAGGTCTTAAAGCCGCAGGAGCGCACTCTCGTTGTCCTGGAGACCAGAAGCCTGACGTCAAGCTGCCAGCAGGCCATACTCCGTCTAAAGGTCTGGGGAGGTCCCCTTGTCTGTCCGGCCTCTGGTGGCTCCTCAGTCCTTGCCTTGTGGCCACATCACTTACGCTCTGTCTTCATGTTCACACGGCGTCCTCCTTCCTCCTCCGTCTCCCCGTCTGTGTCTCTCCTCCTCTCCTGTAAGGCCAGCTGGGGCCCGCCCTCCTCCAGTGTGGCCTCATGTTAACCTGACTGATGACGTGAGCAAAGACCCTGTGTCCAAACTGGGTGCCAGGGTAGTGACTTGAACGTGGCTTTGGGGGCACAATTCCACCTACAACAGGACGAGGGTGGGCCTGCATTCAGGTCTCAGCCCTGATTTCCAACCCAGCCTATCCTCTGCGGGCCCCTGGCTCACTGCCAAGGACTGTCCTTGTCCCCCCTGACCCTCGGGCCCACTCACCCCTGCCAGTCCCAGGCGGCTGCGCTGAGCCCGGGCTCCTGAGCCCTCCTGTGAGTGCACAGCCTGCCTGTTGCGTGAGCGTGTCCTGGACCAGGGCCAGCAGGCAAGGCCCTGGGCTCACCTCACTCTAGGTCTGAAGGCCACCAGACAGGATGGTCGTACTCACAGGGAGCCCCAGCAGGGGCATCAGGGAGGCCTTCCTGGAGGAGGCAACACCCCCACGAGCCGACGTGACCTATCTCAATGCACTGGTTGCACCCATATCTCGTCTGCCTGTCTGCACGGAGCAGCTCTGAGACGGGGGCTGATGGGGCACAGCCATCCCTGAATGCCAGGCCAGGCACCCCAGACGAGATCAGAGGTCACCAGCCTGGGCTGGGCCTCCCTCCTACACTGCCCTTGAGGTGGTTCCTGTCCACAGGGGTCAAGGACGTGGAGTCAGGCTTGTGTGTGTGCTGAGTGCAGACTCAGGGTGCCAGCTAGATGGGCCCCTCACTGTCTGCTCTGTCCCCAAAGGCCACCAAGGGGAGGTTGAGGCCAACCTGCGTCGAGTGCTGCTGCGGCTGCTACACCTGTATGAGGTGGGGGAGGACCCCGTCCTGTCTCAGCCTGTGACAGTGAATCTGCAGGTACAGCCCCATGTGTCACAGGCACCCCGCGGCTCACAGAGCAGGGGCAGGCCGCTGGCCCCCTGGGGTGGGGGGCACCCCAAACCCTGAGGCTCACAGAACAGGGGCGGGCTGCTGGCCCCCTGGGGTGGGGGGCACCCCAAACCCTGAGGCTCACGGAGCAGGGACGGGCCGCTGGCCGCCCTGTCCCTAGTGTGGGAGGCACCCAAGCCCCGAGGCTCATGGAGCAGGGACGGGCTGCTGGCCCCCTTCTCCTTGGTGTGGGGGCAGCACTGAGCAGGGGCAGGCCACCCGCCTCCTTCTCCCTGGTGTGGGGGCACCCCGTCAGGAGCTGCTCAGCTGTCTGTGACAGAACCCCCACCCCCAGTGCTGTGAGCAGAGATGGACTCTCAGGGTGGGTGGACTGACCTGGGCAGCACCTCTCCTCCCCACCTGGCCGTCCTCAGCCCTTGGTGGTTTGTCTTCCTGACCGTCCTCTCTCGTCACGGGACATCACAGCTCATTGAATGTAGGGAAGGCAGAGGGGTGGGGCACAGCTGCCCCTGGGAGCACTTTCCTGTTGGGGACCCTCTCTGAGAGCCACCCCTGCCCCACTCTTTCCCGTGACAGACAGGGCCACTGCCCCTTCAACTGTGTGTGGAAGGGGCCGAGTAGCTGCACACCCTGGGCAGGGAGGTACTCCATGCTGGGAGGGAGCACGAGGCTGTCCCCTCCTGGGTCTGTGCGTCCGGCCCACCCCAGCCTGTTCCCCACCTCCCAGGCTACCCTTGCAGATTGGCCGTGAGGATTAGTGAGGGCCTGTGGTGTCAGGGACAGGCACCAGGTCACCCAGTCTGTGTCGCCACCACTGCTGTTCTCAAGCTGGGTGTGGAGACTCCCTGTGGCTCCCCCTCCCTCGCTGTCCCCACAGGTTGTGCTGCGGGGTCTGGGGACCTTGGTGGCCATGGAGGAGCGCTCCCTCACAGGGACCTCAAACGTGCATGACCTGCACCGCTGGAAATGGAGGACCCAGGCCCACCGTCCCACCAGAGGTGGGAGCCCTGCTCTGCCCGGTGGGGATGAGGCCCTGCCCAGCACAGAGACGGGGGACCCCACTAAGATTCCTAGTGTGGCCTCCTACGTGGCTGGGGAGCTTGGCAGACCCAGTTCAGATCCCAGCCTTGCCCCCTACAAGCTGCGTGACCTGGGGCAGCTGCAGCGCCACCAGCCCCTCGGAGCCACACCATGAGCCTCGGAATCCACAGCCCCGTCAGACCACCACTGCCGACCAGGGCCCCACGTGTGTGCATGTGTGAGCACTGTGTACATGTGTACTGAGGATGTGTTGTGTGCATGCACAGGCATGTGTGTGTGCACATGTAGTGTGTGATCACATGTGTGCACTGGTACATGTGTGAGCATGTGTGCTGTGAGCATATGCATGTGGGTACAAAGTGTGATGTGTGCACGTGTGTGCACTGTGCACATGTGAGTACATGTGCTGTGAGTGTGTATGTGTGTATATGTGTAGTGTGTGATCATATGTGTGTGTGGATGTGTGTGTAGATACACTGCAGGATCATGTGTGTGCTGTGTACATGTGTGAACATGTGTGGTGTGTTCATGTGTGGGCATGGGTTTACATATGTACCGTGTGATAGTGTGTGCACTGTGTGCATGTGAGTGCATGTGCTGTGTGTGCATGTGTGTATGATGTATGAATGTGTGCATGTGTGTGCACTGTGCACATGTGAGCACTGTAGGCTGTGTGCATGTATGGGTATGGGGATGTGTATACATGTATTGTGTGATCATGTGTGTATGTGTATGCACTGTCTACAAATGTGAGTGCATGCATTGTGAGCATGTGTATGTGCATACACTGTACCATGTGATCATGTGTGCATGTGTGTGCACTGTGCCCATGTGAGTGCATGTGCTATACATGTATGGATATGTGTGTGTGCTGTGTGAGCACGTGTGCATGTGTGTGCACTGTGTGTGGTGTGAGCGCTGTATGTTGTGTGCATGTTTGGGTGTAAGGGTTTGTATGCATGTACTGTGTGGTCACGTTTGTGTACACTGTCTACATGTGTGAGTGCATATGCTATGAACATGTGTGTACATGTGTAGTGTGTGATCATGTGTGCATGTGTGTGCATGGCACATGTGAATCCATGTGTCGTGCATGCATGAATGTGTGTCTGTAGTGTGTGGTCATGTGTGCATGTGTGTCCACTGTATGCTGTGTGCTTGTGGGGGTGGGGGGTGTGCATGTACTGTGTGGTCACATGCATGTACATGTGTGTATTGTGTACATGTGTGAGCACATGTGCTGTGTGTATGGGTGCACATGTACTGTGTGATCATGCATGTATGCATGTGCATTGTGTCCATGTGAGTGCATGTGCTGTGTATGCATGGGTATGTGTGTGCAGATGTACTCTGTGATCGTGTGTGCATGTGTGTACACTGTGTGCACATTTGAGCACTGCATGCTGTGTGCATGGGTGGGTGTGGGGTATGTATGCATATACTATGTGATCACATACATGTACATGTGTGCATTGTGTATGTGTGTGACAACATATGTGCTGTGTGGGTGTACACGTGTACTGTGTGATCATACGTGTGTACATGTTTGTGTAACCACCTATCAGTTCTGCTTCTAGAGTTGTCCCTCCACATACCCTGCCCATGCCCCCAGTGAGAGCCCCAAGCTCTCAGACTCACAGGGTTGTGCCCAACCTGTCCCCACTGGTCTCTGCTGTCCTGTGCCCACCCTCTACCACACTGTCAGCTCTGGCTCCACAAGCCGCTTCCTGCCACTCCCTCTGCCTAGAACACACTCGTCCGTTCATTCTAGCCAGCTCCCACCCGGGCTTCCCCCAGAGCCTTCCCCCGGTCCCAGGCTGGGTCAGACACCTGCTCTGCTCTCCCAACCACACAGGCATGTTTCCTCTGCCTTCTGCATCTTTCTGTCCTCTGCACACATCATAGTTCCAGGTAGAGAGTAGACAGTCACTGGATGGATGGATGGATGGATGGATGGGTGAGGGGGTGGATGGATGGATGGTTGGGTGAGGGGGTGGATGGGTGAATGGTGACAGGTGAACAGTTAGATGGCTGGTTGGTTGGATGGATGGATACATGGATACATGGATGGATGGATAATGGAGGGAAGGAGTGAAGGATGGGTGATGGATGAATGAATGTATATGTGGATGGATGGATGGTGGATGGATGAATGGATGCATGATGGATGCATGGATGGACTGATAGATTGAAAAATGGATGGATGAACAGCCTTCTCTCCTGAGAAGGAAGCCCCATCACC